AAAAAAAAGTTAACTCGTCTTGACGTGACGTCATCAGCTCGCGCATCACAGAATGTAAACAACACTGCATAGAGTGAACGTGTGGAGCTCACACGATAGAGAAAACACCAAGATGAAAAAATCTAATCCATCTCATTTACCGACGAACATTTCTACTAAAGACCGGGCAAAAAGTGGGGGGAAACTATTCTGCACCCCGTGCAACTGTGTGTTGGAGCATAAGAGAAAATCGACGGTGACGACCCACTTTGATTCATTCAAACATTCGAAAATGCTTTCTGCTGCTGCGGACAAGAAAGCCAAACAACTCACGTTCCCCGAGGCATCAACCTCCAAAACCCTTTCGAGGGCTACAAGAAACGAAGTGAGCAGCCTACAAGATTGAAGCTGGTCAGATAACGAACGAGTAAATGAAAACAGAATGAGGCGGAGAAGTGTGTGTGTGCGTGTGTGTGTGGGGTGTGTGTGTGTGTGTGTGTGTGAGATTAAAAAAGCCCAATTGCTTTTACAATAAATAAACATTGAATGTGTTTAATTGAATAAAGGGGTTTAACGTTAGTGGCAGTTTGTGTGTGAGAGAGAATAAATAAGACAGCCCAATATTTAAAAAAATTGTTATTCTTTTCCCCCGCATATATTGAGCATATTTTGCAACTTTCCGCATATTTCCTAACTTCCCGCAATTTCACCGCATAAAATCACATAAAACCCCGCATGTTTAATCGCATAATCAAGGATTTTAGCCCGCATAATCAAGGAATTTAGCCCGCATAATTAAGGATTTTTGCCCGCGTTTTTCTGGAGGGTCTAACTATGTAACACTCGCCTTCTATTGGCTAGCACTCCAACACATTGTATGTGCTAAGGGGCGGGACATCTCTAAACGGTTGACCAATCACAAACAGAGTTGACCAGCTGACCAATCAGAGCAGACTGGGCTCTGGTTTCAGACAGAGGGTGAAAAGAGGTACTGCAGCACAGGCAGTATGAGAAAAATAAAGGGCTTTTTGAACATTAAAGCATGTGACATGTCACAGTATAGGCACTAAATACTAATATGAACCTTGACAGTCAATCAATTTGGCTTCATTATATATATAAAATACCAAAATTGCTGTTTATTTCTGTTTGCTTCAAACATGTTTTTAACAGCTCATCATCAGAGAGAAGAAGTGTACTGCAAAATTATTTATGAAAAAAGGCCACAAAATATACATTAGGAAAATATGAATCTTTGAACATTCTAATATGAAAAAATATGAATAAAAAATACAAAAATCATTTAAAAATGCAGGACATGTGAAATAGAGATATTTTCCAGTTACATCTGTCTATAATTATTTACAACAAAACATTAAATCAAAAAAAGAAGTGCAATGTCACATTACTACAAAAACTGTACAGGTTAAAAGTTACTGCTCAATATCGGTCAACACAAAGGTTGGGGTCATTCTTTGGGATCATTTTCTATCTAACAAACTATGCCCTTAAAGGCATACCGTAAATTGCTGGTAAGCAATGTAAACATTTCTTTAAAATGTTCTTTATGACCATATCAACACTAAGGCCAACTGTCTTCACTTCATATTTAAATAGGAACAATTCATTTAAATTGCAAGAAAATGGGTTTTGTTAGCCTCAATATGGAAGGCAGAATTATTAATTGAATTGCTTCACTCTAAAAACTTTAAAAATGTAACAAAACTTTAGATAAATCACATATGCCACCAGTTGTAATTCCTCTCTATTGGCTCCCTGTGACTTTGAGGATTGATTTTAAAATGTAATGACATTTAAGAGGAGCAGTCTCAGAGAAGGCGAATCAGTACTACTTGTTTTATTGATTGCCTTCTCAGTCTGGTCTATCATACCCTTATCTAATTCATCTAAAGCACTTTGTAACCTCTGTGTTAAGAGCACAGTGGCAAATAAAGCTTCTTTCGTTCGTCTGGATTTGACACATAATTAATTGCGCCCCAAAGTGTGGGAATTAGAAGGAGTTGTGAATAAGTGCAGTTTGAGATTGTGCATGTGTGAAGATCGGCGTTCATCCCAACTCAATCACAGTTTATATTTTAAATGATCCTTTTCTCTCTTGCTGGGTCAGTCTTTGGGAGGATGTGGATCCGCCTCAGTGAAGTCTTATTGTTCTGAGCGACCCGGCGCTCACACAGGCTGCTCAGGGCCGATATCCCCAGAGAGCCGGGTTACTGTAGGGGGCGTAGGGGCAGTTGTTATGGCAAACACACGAGTGGATCATCATCACGGGTCGCTGGAGCAGTCTGCCGGTGGAGCAGCGGAAGGAGACCTCAGCCGTGGTGGTGTGATACGGCGTGCAGCAGCGGGAGTCAGTGCACTGTCCGCAGTAACGGAGCTGGAAGGCCTGAGTGCTGAAGCAGCCCTGGTGAACGAGTCGGACGGGGCCTGGTGACGTGTAGCTGGCCTTGCACTGTCCCTGCTGACCCCACTGGGGAAAAAACAGCAAGCACACACAACATTTACAGCAACAGAACTCCACAGGGTAGCTTTAGGTTTTAATTTGGCTGTGCATTGCGGCTTTGATTTAGAGAAATCTTTGTAATGTCAGTTTTTTTTCACAATGAGCATAGATCTGTTACTAACCCTTGTTGTATCTATCCATTGCTTAGTATTTATTTATCATCTTAAACGTAAGTTTATAAAGTTCTGACGTTGAATACCTAAACACAAAAAGTTAGCATACTCACAGATCTTCAGGTTCAAGTTAAACAATTGCGTTTTCACCATTTCGGTTTTTTCCATGTCAAACAAACATGCTAACGTTGTTTTAGAGCACAAGTAAAGTGGAAGTCATGGCATTGGACAAGACTTCCATTTATATGTTTGAGAATAAATTGGTGGAATTAAGTTACCTTTGTCCTAAAGATGTGAGTGGCTACCTTGTAACCTTTGGATCTTTAGATATTTATTCCTGAGAAAGTATTTTATAGTAAAGTATTGACCATAAAGGTTCAGAGAAAATGATTTTGAAACTCAGCGCATTAAACCAAAACCATTCTTTTGTAGTTTGACCAGACAAAGATGTGCATGGATGGTGATGGGATATATATACAACAATATATATGTGTAATTTATATCTGGCTGCTAAATCCTTAGAACCGTTACAAGGTGTGTTTTTTGCATTTTGTATTTAGAAAATTGGGTAACTTGCTGCTGTTAAATACCATCAAACTATGTGCAATATGTACATTATATACATATGCCATTAATAACTGTGTAATATATACCTGGCTGCTAAATCCTAAGAACTGTTACAGGATTTGTATTTTGAAAAGCATTTTGTTTACTTTTTTATTTTTTATTATATACATATATATTTTTTTTATTATATCATAACTTAGTAATTTTTTAACATATGTAACATTAATCTGTCTGTGGCTCTTTCCTGCTGTAACGATGCACATTTCCCCTCTGTGAGACTAATAAAGGTATTCTGATTCTGATTCTGATATGAAGATAGAACCTAAGAACATGAAGGCAGCAGAAATACACTTGAGCTCACCATGGGTGTCCTTGGGTGAGTCCGAACTGCATTGCAAGGCCGAACTTTACAGAGTCGAGTTTCCATTTGCAGCTTGCAGGCCGGGTTCTGGTTAGAGACTCGTGTGGAGACCCCGGCCCCACAGCTCTGAGAACAGGCGCTCCACTGGGTGCTCTTCTCCGTACAGGGGGAGGCTGGCAGGACAAGCTTGTTCAGAGGGTGATCCATCGGGAGAGACGGCCACAACCTGCCAGGTCTCATGGCTAAAGAAACCAAATGAAACAATGAGTAGAGTAAAAAATCAGACCCTGTCCCAGTTTGAGAACTTCTGCAGTAAACTAGATGCTGATTGAACTCATTCCCATTTTATTGTTTTTTTCTTCGTTAAAAATATCCAATTCACATTTAATCTTTTTGAGATTTGAAAAACCCAAAGCATTTTTTTTTCTCCCAAAACTAAAAAGTATAGTCATAATAATCAGCTGATTTTCGAGGATGACATTGCAGGTTTTGTATCCAAGAGCAAAATGTTCTTTTGCTGCTCTCATAACATTGTTTGAAAGTGTTTGGCATACTAGATGTTTTTAGAGTGGCTTCAGTTCCCTAACACCCCTTCTCACGAACACACTCCCATTTTAATGCAGTAATAGTCTCTACTTGGCTTCATTTGTTTAATTGTTAGACAGCAACAGTTTGTGTTATGAAACTAGGAAACTTGGTGACTAAGAGAAAAACATGTTTTGACTTTTCCAAAAAGAAATGTTGGTTATATTTGGACTTTGGGAGTTTTTCATTTGGCCAGACACACCCCAGTTTAATTCAAAAATGCTCCAGTAAAAACTTCCAGACATGACCACCAGTGACAAGCCTCGTATAACTGAGGGAAGCATTATGTTGCCATATGGACTGATCATTTATGGGCAATTTTTGTAGCAAAAAAAAAGCCAGTAATAGAATGCAGTATGTGTGGAAATACATCAGACACTGGAAATGTGTTGTAAATATCCAGCTCTGATGTCAGGATACAATTTAAAATGAAAAGTCAAACATTTTTAGGAATTGTCTCATTCGTTTCTAACAGGTAATTCAATGAAAATATCGATAATATGGATACTTTTTATGTCTGCTCATTAAATTTAAAGCTAAAACGAGAAGATAGTTATTTTAGCAATATAAAAAGTGTAAACAGGAGGACACAGCTAGCTTGATAAATCAAATTGTTGTTTTGGGCAAAAAACATTTAAGCAAGTGAGTTGATAGTTCATTTGTGAGCTTTAGATGGGCTAGTTTGTAACTTTTAAAAGGAGCAAAGCTAGCTGTTTTCCCTGTTCCCAGCCCTAAGCTAATATGCTGATGGATGTACTGTATCTTCATATTTACAGTACAGACATGAGAGATTATAGACAGGGGTGCACATAAGTGGTACGCAGGTACGCATGCGCGGCAACAATCTGAAATGCGTACCGTCACTTGTGTCACAAAGCGCATTTGCGTACCGATGTATATGTGAAGCTTTTCCATAAGGCGGTTAGATCACCGGACGACGGAGTCGGTCTCCGTGTGCAAAGACAGGGCTGCTGTTAACGTCGGCCTGTACAGCAGCACTGCGCTAAAACAGCTGATCACAACGTTCACACGCTCTGTGGTCACGAAGCTCTGCACTCTACTACTACCCCCCCCCCCCGTTGACATTCGCGATACAGAGGGCTTCATCATACTCCACTAGCACCCCCACCCGCTGATATTCGCGATACAGAGGGCTTCATGGGAACTTTGAGGGAGCCGGAAGTTGGAGTACCAAACACTGACTCCAGGTACTCATCTGAGTACCTCACTGAGAAAGTTGTGTGCACCCCTGATTATAGACAATTTCAAAGTCGTCTCTTAAAGTCTGCTATGATGTTTTTACTGTAGTACACTGCTGCTCGTAATATGTCTCCTTTATAACATAAATTAAGGCATTTGCTGATTTTATACATATTCCTTCTTAACGGTTTATTTATTTCTAATAAGGAAGGACTAAAATGAATCCCTGCCACCTGCCAAATACAGGGTACATCTTGGCTGTGGCAGGTCAAAATGTAGTGTCACCTGCCACCATTTCAGACCCTGCTCATAACTGATCCATCTATCTGTAGGGTTTACCTGTGATGGCGTCCTGTATGACTGTGTTCTCCAGGTTTTCACACATCCATTCCTTGCAGCATTTCCCCGGTAACCGGATACGTTGTGGGTTGGGACAGTCCAAAGTGGGGAGATGGAAATTCAGCGGACAAGTTGGCACACAGCTCACCCCACCGCCGCTGCAGTGGCAGGAAGTATCGCAGGAAGGCTGAAACGACTGGCCGTCATGGTAAGAGACGCCGTTTACTTCACAGCCCAGATCCTCCTGACCTGCAAGGAACACGCCGCACAGAGCCCTTAAAGTGGGAAACTTAATCAGGAAGTGAAAAGGATTAGATTAGGTAAAGAGAGAAAGGAGGGGGAGCAAACAGCTGAGGAAAATGAGAGAGAGGGGTGAGGACACAGGGACTCTGTCTCTGCCAATGGTTATGTAGTTTTATGGGAAGCCAGGCGTCTCAACTGAGAAACTGAGGAGTCTGTTTTTCAATCCGGGAGTGTTGTCTCTGCAATCTATCAAGCGGCTCAAAGGCCAGTCATAAGAGGAAATGTGTCAACAGCTGTCCTGGAAATAGAAGTTGAAACGTTTTGGAGTTTCTGACGGGCAGACTTTAAACATTAACTGTCTGTGTGTTTGTTCTGCAGACTGAGGCTTTAACACCTCCTTCAAACACAGACATCAGCCTGGTAGTCAAGGCTGGCAGCGTTACTTTAAAAGTGTTATCTGTTACACTAAAACATTGTTACAACATTGTCAACATTGTCAAAACATTGAATCAGTTAACTAATCTGAGTATCTAAATATAAAACTAATGAAACCTAACCCTTACCCTACCAACGTTACTTTTGGATAACCTCAATATCAAATGCAATGCAAATAAAGAGAAAATAAATAACAATAAGATGTTTTTAACTTTTGTAATAATGTAACCTTAGAAAATAAGTAACCAAGGTATTTCATATAAAAATGCAGAAACAGTCACAGTTTACAAATGCTGTTTAAGCTTAAGGAAAGGTTGAGTACCCTGAACGTTTTATGAAGAAATGTATAGTACGGGTCCCCAGCACATAGAAACTGCCAAATGCTAAATAATTGTTGATCCTGGAAATGTCAGAAATGGATTCAGCATCCTCAAATACCTCCAAAACCACTTCAAAATTGTCCAAATTCGGCCAAGCCATTTTTTAACTATGCATATGCTAATTAATGCTAATTGATGCGTGTCAGAGGAGGAGCTCACCGACACACTCCCCTGGTTCTCCGGGGAAGCTGGCGCTGTAGTCGCACTGCAGACCCCTCTGACTGTCGCAGGGAAACTTCTCCGTGCAGGGCTCGGCTCGCTGCCGCGCACAAACCTGGCAACACCGGCAGCCATCGGGCACCAGAGGGATGCCTGCTGGGCACTGAGGGACCTCTGAGGGGCAAAGGCAGGGTCTGTCACACAGCTGGGAACGCACCTGCAGACACAGCATCATTGTTATTATCAGACCATCACTACACCATATCGAAATCCTCATGTCTACATTTTCACATGAGGGGAAAAGAAAATAATATTGTTTTTCTCAGAAAGTAAAACGCCAGGATCCAACACAGCCAGGCCAAACCACTGTTTCAAATTACATGTGAGTGATGGAGCCAAAACACAGGCAGGATCAAGAGGAGCCCAGTCTCTATTTAACAGAGCTGAATAATCCCTTAAATAAAATACAGACCACTGCTTGTTTTCTTACTCACTGCCCAGCAACATAACGCAGCTGTTATTAAACACAAAAACTTCAAGAACATTACACCTTATTCGGAAATGTTAATACAGTTTAAAGTTCAAGACAAGACAAGACAAAAATGTGTTATTTTATGCAGTATAGTGGAGTTGCGCTAATGTATTCGTTTTTTAGTCTTTATGTCTGAAAGGATTAGTCAATTACTGAAAATAAATATGCAGCAATTTTGATCGTATCTCTGACTCTTTTGATTCATTTTGCAAGCTAAAATACTATCAATTCTTTAGTCAATGCATCTTAAATGGGAGTGTTTCATGCCTTTTATCCCATGTTATCATGAAATATTTGGAATGGCAATTGTGTTTTTAGACAAACAAGCAATTTTCTTCAATTACATTTAATGTATTGCCCATGTTAGTCGAAATGGGTTATACACTTCTCTAACAAAGGTACACATAAAACAAAACACCATGAAACATAGAAATACACAATGCAATAGTTCAAATGTTCCTTTATCCAGTCATTCTGTGATCAATGCCTGTGTGGTATGATATAATCTTGAGATGTAGTCAATTGTTATGTCCATTTTTGAATAATTTGTACATTTGATAGGCCAAAAAACTAAGAAATTATTCAGGAAAATATTCAACACATATTAAAAATGCTAAAGCTTAAGTCCTAATATTTGTATTTGCATATCTTGTTCACTGTGATCTTATTTTTGTCAAGACCGGATGGCTACAATCACATTTTTCTTATTAACATCAAATAATGTAATTCATAAAACACAAAAAATAACTAATACTATGGCTACACTATCAAACTAACACTCTTTGTCTTTGCAATCTTCAACAATATTCATCAATCTTGTAACAATAAAGTCAGTGTAGAATACTCACACAGCGTCCTTCCTCACTCACAGCCCATAATAATCTCATTCAGAACAAATTACAGTAAGTATGAGGAGCGGGCTCACCTGTGTAGCCACACACAGCAGAGCAGCCAGAGCGATCACACCGTCACACAGCCGGCGGTCCATGGGGGCTCAGTGTGTCTCTGTGTGTCTCTGTGTGTCTCTGTGTGTCTCTGTGTGTCTCTGTGTGTCTCAGTGTGTCTCTGTGTGTCTCAGTGTGTCTCTGTGTGTCTCTGTGTGTCTCTGTGTGTCTCTGTGTGTCTCAGTGCGTCTCAGTGTGTCTCAGTGTGTCTCACCAACCTGTGATGCTGTTCGCTATCTGCTCATTCTCCTGCCTGCTGACATTTATAAAGTCTGGACTCTGATGTCACAGGCTGACTACCGTGTAAACAGCCACTGGACCGGCATCAGAAATGTTTCACATTCCTCCTCCCTGCTGCCCATTTCCACTTCCAGACACACACACACAAGTCTTCCCCCTCTTTTTCCTCTCCTCCCTCTCTTTCCAGTCTTGTGGCGTTCTAAGTTTACACAGCTTAACACGAGATGAGGAGAAAAAAATACATTAGCCCAGTTGTCTAAAAGTCAAACAACCTCCGGGGCTCTTGTGGCGATGATTCCGATTTAAGATGTTTTATCTTGCTGATGTTTTCCCAGACTGCTGCTTCAATGTATGGTCAGTCAGATATAGTGGATGATCTATTGAAGAGACGGATATAGAGTGGATACTGCCACAATTTAGTTTTCACTACAGAAACCTAAAATAAGTCTGAAACCATAATGTGTAACGTCTGCCTGATTCAAGAGAGATGCAATGCTTCTCTTCCCTCTGGTTTCCATGGTGTCAGGGCAGCATGTCTGAGGCTGGCATGAACTTGACCTTTCATTGAGAGAAAAGCCTTCCTGTGAAGAGAATTCAAATAAGAGCCTGGAAGTAAACATGATTTCTCTGAGGCCAAAAGGGCACATTGAAACACATGGTCTCATTGTCAGTCTAGGGAGATTCAATGCACCATTCTACCAACGTGTTGGAACATTTATGACCTGATGATGGCACTAAAAGCAAAGTCAGTGGAGGGCACCAGTTTTCATGTCAATTCATCAAAGTTATTTCACTCAAAGCCACAAATGTCAACCTCAAGGTGGCACTCGGAAATGTCAGAGGATCAACAAAGTCATTGAGATGCATCGTTTATGAACCATGAATCTCTTGACCAACTTTAGCTCCAATCCATCAAGTAGATGTTGAGATGTTCCACCGGATGAATGAAATGGGGTCAGTGAAAGACTTCAGAGCAATCCATCCAATAGTTGCTTATGTATGTCAGTCCCAACCAAAATGGTGGAGCAAGGGACAGATTGAGATTTATTTTACAGCGCAATTACATCATGTTACAAAGATGCCGTCATAGCCAAAATATCCCTGAATATAAACACTATGGCAAAAGTCCCTGAAACAGAAAGTAAGCAATTCATGTTTGATAGATTCAGTCAGAAGTAACACCAGATTCCTGAGTTTAAACATCAGCCCTTTCTCACAGAGCTGGGTGGGCAGTGAAGACATCCAGTGATGAGTTATAAATAGAAGCAGACAGACAGAAAGAAAGAGAAGAGGAAAGTATGCATGTCCGGGCAGGTGGGTTCCAGGTGGCTCACAGAGATCTACTGCGAGGCCTCTTAGCCTTCCCTAAAAACTATGCTGTCTTGGCCGCCACTCCATGTGTTTTCCATGCTCTACAAGAATGACAGAGTCTGGAAGGATTGCATTGTAATGGCTCTACTAGAACATACATAAGTCTGTATCAAGTTCTCAATCTATTGTGTAACAAGTACAGCTCACTTAGACTATTATTTGGAATGAAAATGCTCTTCTCAAGGCTTGAAGTTCTTGAAAGATCTTAAAGAGGCCCTGCTATGCTCATTTCAGATTCATATTTGTATTTTGTCTGAAACCAGAGCCCAGTCTGCCCCCTGATTGGTTAGCTGGCCGGCTCTGTTGTGATTGAACAACCGCTTAGAGATGTCCTGGCCCTTAGCCTATCACGTACAATGTGTTGGAGCGCCAGCTAATAGAAGCAGGAGCAGGCATGCACAGACATCAAAGTGGGCTTGAGCCCCTGCCCTTTTTCTTCCTCCCAAGAAAGTGCCCTTTCCCCCCCTTTTTTTTTTTTTTTTTAAATAAATGAATATATATCTACTGCTGTTTGCACACAGTTTCCCTTTCCAAAAATATATTGATTGAATACAAAATTAAAATATCAGGTCGGGAAATTAGACTAAAGTTCTGATGTTTCTGATTGTTGGCTGCTCATCTAATAACTATTAATAATTGTACTAGTTTGTTGTCTGCTCTTGTGCGTAGTGAATACTAAAATAGACCATTGTCTCTGTGTCAGCTGATTATTTTGTAGAATTCTGTTGAGTATTAAAAAATTGCGTGAGTGTGACGGCCCGTCCACACAGCAGCTTTGAAAAAATCTTGAAAACCTTGGAGCTGGGCGTGTCTGAAAGTTTGGGGATTTTTTGCGAGCAACACGACCAACAACCCATCACATTAATCTCCCACCCCGACATACAAAGCAATAGCAATGTTAAAACGAAGTAAACTGGATATAAAATCCCCAAACAGGCGAAAACCTACCAGTTTCACCCACTGTCTCTGCCACCTCCCTCCATTCCTGGCTCCTCCGGTTTGAGATGAACATAGTCTGGTCGTAAAGATCCGGGTGATTTGCTACCGTATTTTCTCGTTTGGAATATGAGGAAATGAACTGCGGTATGGCTCTCCCAGCTTACACGCAGTTTGATTGGCTAGCGCTGTCAGATTTGCATAAACGGGATTTGATTGGCTGACGCTTCCAGCTCAGCTTCAAAAGTTGAACATTGCTCAACTTTTGAATCCTGAAAATCCTGGAAATCTTCGCTTTGCTTCCCCACAATGCAGTTCGGCGAAAAGCGAGGCAAAGTGACGTCACCCCATTCAAAGTCAATGGGCAGAGAAGCGTTGGAAGATATTTTTAAAGGTGCTGTGTGGACAGGCCGTGAGGGTATTAAAATAAATTGGTCAGTAAGTCAGAGATGTGCAACTATATTTAAGTTTGACATTTTTTTTATAAATGATTATGGGAGGTGCCCTTTTTCTCACTTGAGCACCTGCCCCCCAAAATGTCTGTGCACGTCCCTGAGCAGGAGTGTTACATACTGATGTCACCATGTTACGGAAGTAAACAAAGGAGTCCAATGGAGGCGTTACAGGCAGGAGGGGGAGTGTGTGGGAGAAAAACTCCCTCTGGAGGGAACTTTGGGATTTTAGCCTTTGCAGACTATTTACACTCATAAAAAATGCACCTCTTTGAGTTTCCTTGTAAAACTCATTGTAAAATAGACTGTGGGTTTAGCTTAATTATGCTTCAACAATAACTGTATAAAAAAGATTAAGCTAAGTCATGACGTCAACAACTGCGGCGATTCTCAGTCATAGTGAAATCACAGTATCTGCAAATTTAAACTGAGAGTCAGAAAAGACTTAACACATTTTCCAGAGCACACAGATGTTGGAGAGCTCCCAGACAGTAAAGTATCGCTCTCACTGACAGTGGACACTTGGAAGAAACCCCCAAAATCTTGTACAATGACCCTCATTCAGTTTGGGTGAATATTGTTTTGGTATGTGATGGTATGTAGGAAAACCCCATTGGATTCCTTGTTGATTCGCAAATGCAAAAACTGCAGGGCAGAGAAATGAAAATATTATTCGTCCTGTAAATGTTGGAAAAGAATGCACTGATCTAAAAGGAAAATCACTCTACCAAATCTCTCACAGCGGAGCAGAAATGTCTAACACATGTTCCGAAAAGTTGTCCAACAACCAAAGAATACCTCAGAGTGGGAGAAGAAGAAAAAAGAGCGCGGACTCAGACTGTTGTAATGAGACTAAGAGGTTACACTGTGCTACAGGCATGCACGGCAGAAATCACATTTACAGATGTGAGCGTTCAGTTTTGTCATTATTTCCTTACTATTTGTAAAGACTGATTTCACAGTGGAATCAAACAGGAACAAGTGCTGTGTCTGTCTGTCCACTACGTTGTTCCACACAGAAATATTTTAACAACTATTGGTTGGATTGCCATAAAATGTGGTACAATGATTACTCACTTCCTCAGGAATACCCGTAATAACTTTGACATAATATTAATGACATTTCCATCAGCTTGAACTGTACTTTGTGTTAAGTTATAATCGAGCTAATGTCAGCAAGCTTTCTAAACGTGGATGGCAAACATGGTTAAAACATTATATATGCTAGTGTGTTAGAATTGTTATCGCTAGAGTTAGCATTTAGCTTAAAGCATATAGCCTGGTAGCATGTCTTTGGGCTCCTTATTTGTAATCTGATTCAGATACAACACAGAGAACATATTAGAGGTAGCATGCTTGAATACAAAGTAAATGGTGAAATCTAAGTAGATGTAAATTAAGATGTGTTTGGTCAAAGGCTGGTCTGAACACAAACACACATTTGCTTGCTAGCTAGCCTACAGTTACTGTATGGCTGTACAGGAAATTGATGGATGAATGACAGAAAAAATGACAGAGCAACTACAATCATAAATCAACCCTAAACCTTGTATTGAAACCACATTTTAAAATCCCCTTTTTTTTTTTTTTTTTAAATCAAAGCATTTTACTACATCTATGCATTCCTAAGTTGGTCCTATTTCTGATGTGATAGAACAAAAAGGAAACACTCAACACGTTTTTAGGTTTATGCCAACAGTTGGACCTCAGCAAACCCAGATAATATTCAAGAGTGCCAGTTAGTGGGTTAGGGTGGTGCCAAGTCTGATTTGAGTGTGAATAAACAGGCTGTGGGCAGCCCCAAATAATACCCAAATCTTTTCCCAGGACAATATTTCACACATGCATAACATACAGACCACTTGGGAATTGGTGTCTGAGGTTTTGGCACCAAGTGTCGCTGAAAGTTTTCCAGTCATTGGCAGGTTTGAGGTGCCAAATCTGCAGGTATCCTTTCAGCAAAGAGGGCAGATTTGCTGTGAAGAGTCAGACATAGCAAACAATGTGCAAGTGGTTCAGCCTCAAATCGGAAAGCACGTGGGAGTTGTACTATGGGTATAATGTTGATGTAATGAGTTATAGTGACTCATTATTCCTGTAAGGAGAGGGATTGTGATGACGGGCATC